AGCGCAAGAAGACTTTTTTCAGCATTACTTTCAGCAAAATGTAGAAATTCCATCACTCCATGTTCGTACTCGTCACTTAATCAATTATCTCTCATCCAACTGCGATTCATAACTATGTTCACACGGAGGAAGGTCTGACGAAGGGTGTGCCCGCGGCTGCGCTACTTCACGGAGATTTCGAGATCACAAGTTACGCTGCTTCGCGGAGAAAGAAAAATAGAATCAAAGGAGACAATTTCTCTAATGAAAAAGAATGACATATACACAACATGTACTATATTCTTAACTCTATACAAAATATATACTATTTATAACTAATTAGACTTAATAAACTCTCTAAGAATAATAAACTGTTTAGTAATTAAAAAATAGATATGAACAAAGGAATGGGTTCACCAAGCCACTGAGTTAGTATCTAGTATAATCTTCTAATTGGTTTTATATGTACTTCCAATTATTTTATAATGTATCTCAGTAGCAAGCAAAACAACAAGAATATATTAAAAACATTTTTGTATGTATATCTCTCTTAGAAATCTGTAGATATACAATGAAGTTGAACATAATAGAAAATTTCTTACCGGAATCGTAGTTCGACGGTGGAGGGGGTTTTGAAAAAGACGGAGGGGGTTTCTTACCGGAACCGTCTCGTGAACGGCGGGAAACGGCCGCGAAGGATACAGAAGGAAACAGACGGCGACAGAGACGGGCGAAGGGCGTTCGTAGACGACTGGAGACGACCGGAGACGGAAAGAGACGGACAGAGACGGAGACGGAGCGGTGGGCGGAGAGAACGGGTGGTGTTGGCGGACGGGGTTGGCGGGCGGTGGGTATAGATCTCGTTCGTGGGATACTGTTTTGAAGAAGAGTCAATAACAAAATGAATAGCAGCAGGGCTTATTTCATAAACATATATTACACTTTTTTACATCGGTGGATTTAAATAACCGATGTAATATATATTTCGGTTCTACTTTTTACATCAGTGGGAGTTATGGACCGATGTAATGATTGTTTTTTACATCGGTGGAAGTCAATGATCGATGTAAGGGTTTTTTGATTTTTTACATCGGTGAAACGCAAGGCTCGATGTAAGGGTTTTTTGGTTTTTTATTTACCAATCTGCCACCTAGTTTTTTACATCGGTGGATAGGAAGGCCCGATGTAAGGGTTTTCTGGTTTTTTCTCTCCAATTTTCCACCTAGTTATTTATTTACAATACTGCCACCGTGTTTTTTTTATAAAACCTTTTACATCGGTTTATTACTTTTACCGATGTAATAGCCAACGAAATTTTTTTAAAAAATATTTTTTATATCATTGCAAATAAATACCTGATGTAAAATCTTTTTAATTTTATTTTTTACATCATATATTTTAATACCTGATGTAAAATCCTTTTCTCAAATGTCATTTTTTTAGTAGTGAACCTCAGAAGTTCTACTGCTTCTGAATAACAACATATTCTGAATATGAATTACTTCCAACACCATCCCATATTCATATTCAACTAACCAAAACTTTTCAACACCATTTTCATCCCTCAAACGGATAAAGTGTTAAGTATTGACATCATTCGTCAGAACATCTGCAAGTTGTTTATGGTTTCTACAGTGTGCAACTTCTAATACTTCATTTAGAAGTGTAGATTTTTCCTTGAGAACCATGTGACATTGATGGCTTTCTTCTCTTTCGGAAGCTCAGTTAACTTCCAAGTCTTGTTTCTTTGTGGCCTCTGGACTTGTTTAGAATCTCCTTCTGATTCTGTAACAAAATATTCTTCTGGACTTTCTTCAGAAGTTTGACTACCACCAGAAACTCCACTTTTGTTAACTTATGGACCTCGTCCATAACCACTACCTTCAGAAATACTATCTTCAAAAGTTGGATCAGCTTTAGAAGCTCTGCCTTCAGAAGTTCCACCTTTAGAATCATGTCCTTCGTCAAAGACTGGATTTCCTTCAGAAGCTCCTCCTTCAGAAGGTCCATCCGTAGAGTCATGATTTCCACCAGAAACATGATCATCTTTAGAAGCTTGTCCTCCACAATCTATGTCTTCAGAGTTTTCCCTTCTAGAAGCATGATCACCCCCAGATTCTAGATCATCATCAAAATCTGGATCAAAATCAGATTCATCATCTAACTCATCTTTAGAGTTTCCAGAGTCATCATCTTCTAACTCTAGCTATTCTTCCGAACATTCAAGTTCTGACTCATCTTCAGAAGCAGAATATTCTTCAGATTCCAACTCATCTTCTGATTCTTCTTCAGACTTAGAATCACCTTTGGATTCTGACTTGTCTTTAGCTTCAGAGTCATCTTATAACTCTAACTCCTCTTCAAGAACCTCAGATTCTGACTCATCTTCAAAATCTTTAGCGTCATCTTCTGATTCTGACTCATATTCAAACACTCCTTCAGAGTCAGAATATTCAGAGTTATCTTCTTCCCCTTTAAAATCAGAAAATGACAATTTCACATGTTCCTCATCAGATTCATAAGCCATTAATAACATAGGTTCATCATCTGAATCTCCTCGGGCTATTTTTGCTTCTTCTTTGTTTGACCAACAATCTTTAGCAAAGTGACAGAACCTATTACAACAGTAATATTGAACCATTATCTTGTCATACTTATCATTTCCCTTCTGATGTTTCTTCTCATTAGAATAGAAGACTTTTGATTTCTGGGACCTACCATGTTTTTTCAGCTTATGGTCCTTCTTGACAAACGAAGCTTGAAGAGCCTACTCAACCTCCCTCTCAAAAGCTCTTTCAGTCAGACGAAACTCTTGCGCCTCTAGACTACTTTACAACTCTTCTATTCTCATGGTATCCATATCTTTAAAATGTTTAATTGCTACAACAATGTAATCAAATTAAGAAGTAAAAGACCTCAACACATTCTCTATGATTACTTGTTCAGAAAGGGTTTATCCACAAGCTTTCATCTCATTAATAATCAGAATCACTCTAGAGATGTACTAAGAAACCTTCTCGTTATCCTTCATGTTGAGATTCTCATATTGCTTTGTAGAGACTGAAGCTTTACCTTCTTCACTGATGTGCCACTACCATAACATCTGACCAGTATATCTCACTCGCCCTTTGACGTTGTCGAATCTGTAATCTTCTCAAACACGTTCTCATCCACACACTGATGGATGTAGAATAATGCCTTCTGATATTTCTTCCTCTTGTCTCTCTGTGCGTTTCTCTACTCTTTTGTTGCGTTTTTTGCAACTGGAACATATCCTTTGGTAACAAGCTCAAGAACATCTTGAGCACCGAACAACACACGTATCTGAATCATCCAACGATTCTAGTTCTTGCCATCGAACACTGGAAGCTTGGTACTCATATTTTCATTTTCGTTCATCTTTAACCTTGTACAGAACACTCAGATCTCACAAACACAGTGTTTCTCAATCCCACAGAATCAGAAAATGTGATTTTGTTCAGATTTTGTTCAAGATTCAACACGAATTCAAGAACCAAAATCAATCACACAACGCCTCACCGTTTCTCGTGTTTACCGTGAATCTAAACGGAGCTCTAGATACCAATTGTTGATGCACAAGGTTAATAAATGAAGGAAAGGTAAGAGAGAATACATTTACTGCAATGACAACTATAAAGCTTACACAAAGAATGATGGGAAGGTTACAAATGACAACTACCACTATAGTCTATTTATACACAAAGTAAATTTCCACGTAGGCCCTAACAAAAATAAACTTAATGACTAAGTTAAAAGGTACAAACTAGGAAATACTAAACTTAAAAGCCACACTAACAAACTCAGAATCTCATAAGCTAAGCATACTTCTAGGCGTAACTTTAAAAGTTTCTGCTTCTGACTAATAACAACTTATGATTATATCAAACTACTAATTCTTACTAAGCCGTCTTAGAAACTTACAACTTCTAACTAACAACCTCAAAAACACTAATGCTTCCGAATATAAATTACTTCCAACATCTAATTGGAGTAAAATGGTGAATGATAGAAGGGCCGTTAGGAGAAACTTTCTTGTAAGTGTTATGTAAGATATTGGAATGATATAAATTTATTTGTACTTATAGTAATGACATGTTTTGTTATGTCTTTTTGTTTAGAAATGTCATGTCCGAGTTATAAAGGAGTGTTTTGTTGAGCCACTGCAGTCCATTGAGCCATTAGACACTGACTGACAAGTTTCCTATCAATGCAAGGTGAAGAGTCGTGAGCAAAAGCTTGAGACTTTTCTAGCACGTGGATGGTATAAATTTGCAGTAGATTGAAATTTGAGTGAAGGCAATGTCCTCCATTTCTGCATTCCATATCCTCTAGTGTCCCAGGTGGTTGTTGAAGAATTAAAACAACAACAATGATTATGGTGGATACAGAATATTGTGAGCTATTGGAGTTTGACGTGTTGATGTTTTGTACTGGTGTTGTTGGATTTCAATTGTTAACTGTAACATTTCTATCAGATTTGTATGAATATTTACTTTCAAACTTAAAAATGTGTTTCTTCCTACAACCAACGCTAACAAACTTATTTAAATCAGTAGGATTCTAAATTACTATAACACATGCTAAAATGCAGACGATATATTCTTCAGAATATATGTCTAAATTATACACTGCATAATTTGGACAGCAATATAACGTACGATAGTTAAAGCAAGGAATAAATTACATGTGTTGTGTTCGAAAAGAAGCTATTTAAGGAAAAAAGATACAAACTGGAATTTTGCAGATTTGTTAACTTCTCACATGATAGTAGTGATGATGCCACTGAGTTGTTATCATCTTTCCAGTGACACTAATTTTCCCATAAAATTTAGCTTTGTAAACAGAACCAAGAGGTTGCCTTCATTGAAGAAGTTAGTAGTCAGCTGGAAAATAATGTCATTAATTTCAATCTATTTATAAAATAGAATTTTGTATTCAATTACAGATATATAAATCAGAGCTATCATGGTCGTCACTAAACTCATAAAAATCAGAAAATTTTAATCTCTCCATTCATCTGCATCCACTTGCCAAATCTGAAATTCATCACCATCCATTCGCCAAACCTGAAATTGCAGTAGCAAGTTAATAGTCAGCACATGCAAAGGCAAATATGACTGTAGGATGATAAGGAACATTAAGATTTTGATCAAGAAGTTACTTTTATTATGCCACTGTAAAAGCAAGGATGGCTCATTAAAACCATATTACTTGAATATGGTTGAGGCAGAAAAACTAAATATGAAGAACAACTGAGAACAACTTTAAAGTTTGATATAATGACAGTGTTGTTAACATCCAACTGAGAATAAAAAATCTGACTATACATTTGAGAAACAACGATATGGATATCAGTCCCCTGAAAAATAACATAAACGGTTATTTCCAATCAATACTGAGTTTGTTCTGAACATTTTAAATACAATATTGCTGAAAGAAAAGAAAAGAAATAACAGATCAAATAATATTTCATGAAACCACTTCTTTTTCTACTACAATTATCTCAAAGTGTTGTTTGGTGTGGGAGATGATATTCTATTTATGGTGAACCTTTACTCCGATTTACCGGAGTTCCTTTATATCGCTAATGTCTTTGACAAATTCAAAGGGTCTGAATATTAAAGGAACAAACAAATATCAAACAAAACCTACACAAAACAGAACAACATCATGAATTAGAAAAGGTTTGTAAGGTATTCGATACAAATATAATTTATTTGAAACACAAGATTTTGAATGAGAGTAATTACGAAAAATTGACTCACAGAAAAAACAATGATGAAAATAAAGGTTGTGCATATATCTATTTATAGGGGAAGGAAGAAGGCAAGTGGTTTGAAAGTTGAATAACAAGGGAAGATGGAACTGATTCTTTAATAGCTGATGTTGGTTACTTACCAAGGCAGATCAGAGAGAAAGCAAAGAGTTTGTTATCAAATGAACCAAAGGTTTAAATGAGTGTGTAACCATTCCAGCCAATCAGAAATCATGTTTTATTGTATGTATTTAATATTTTGGGCCAATTGTATGAAGACAAAATTGAGCCTCAAATGATTCAAAATTAGTCTTTTTCACAACAATACAAATGGGAGTTTTCCACGACATATAACTTTCTTATATGGTAGAAGAAGAACAAGAATAAGATTAGAGATATTGGAATGAAAAAATAAAAGAGACGGGGAAGGAAAGGAATAACCGAGAAATAGACCATTATCCGCTTTAGCGTCAAATTTACCATGATTATTCTTCATGTTATTTAGAGTAAGACATTTACATCTTTTTACATGAAGGTGACATATATTTGACTTTCTTCCCCTATAAATTTCATAGAGCATAAGTTTAAGAATAAGTACTATCAAGATTTTGTTCATAACATAGTCTGCCATGTCTATTGCGTCAGCCCATATATATTTAGGAAGGTTTGTTTCAGAAGTTGATTTGAATATGGATTAATTTGTCAAGAAGAGGAGGTTCAATAGAGAATTAAAAATTCTCTTTTAAAAATCAGATTATGCAAGCAAAAATGAATATGGTGAAAAATTTGTTTTAAAATCGTTTAATCTATTGGAAGAAAAATCTTTTATTACACATACACATAAGTTGTGGAATGGAGATATAGACAATGTATTGAATAAAAGTCAAATCTTCAAACTAGGAGTTTGATCGATGCACTTTACAATTAATCAAATTAGAAGCAATGCTAATATCAATTACTTACAGATTAATTAATAACGTAGTTATTTAGAAGACTAATTCTAATCAAAACCTTATACAAATCAAGACTATAAATGATAAATCTATGAATCATGCAATTTTAGAAAAAACAATAGATCGATCATATAACGCAAACATGCATTTCTAAACGAAAAAAGAGGATGGGAGAATAAGAAGAAGATGGTGCATTGGGATGCATATTAGTTCAGTATTATCGTCTTTGCAGGCACCTACTCTATCTCTGATAGTAAACCATTGAAAATTTATATCTTTCACTATGTTAATTTGATTATGGTTTATTTTACAACAACTCAATGAAACAAAAGATAAACTATAATAATACAATATATCTTCTTCCTTACTTCTTGGTTGAACATGTTTGTAACTAGCTACCATCACTATTATCCTTGATCTTCATCAAGATCTTGATCTTCAAACTTTGATGGACTTAAATCTTGACAAATTTTGTGGTCTTCACTCAATATCAAAATTATAAGCCTTGAATCCTTTGAAAAACTCCACAACAATGGAAAACAACTCTGTTTCATTTTCCTTCTAGGAAATTCAAACCTTTGAATTCCTTCAAGATCAAACTTTTTCTTGCAAAAACTACACACGTCAAATTAAAAAATTAGACCTCTAGTATTTCCTCATAATCAATATTCATACACACTAACAAGGTGATGATTCTCCATGAATATAATAAAGATGGAGATTTGAGAGAGAAAGATGAAGTTGTATTTTGAAAGCTTTTTCCTCATTGAAAATTTTTAATCTCATAATGAATGTTAGAATGAAAAAGCCTATTTATATGTGCAAGAGATATATCACTAAATTTGAGCAAAAGCCTTAAATGAATTGGATCCAAGTTTGTAATGAATCAATTCCAATGTTAGAATTTTGCTTTAATTGATTAGGATCAAAAGCCAATGAAATCAGGTCCGCTTAACATGAAATTAATTCCTAAAAATAAAGGTAAAACATGACTAATAAAACATATAATTGAATCGATTCTATCCGTTATTTGAATTGATTCCATCAAATAATGATAAAATACGAATTTGAAAAAAAACCATAAATGAATCAATTCTAGAAGGTGAGTGAATCATTCTAATAAGCAAAATCAGATCACGCGTTTACCAAAAACTTAAATGAATCCATTCCATCATGGAAGAATTGAATCAGGTCATGTAATGCCTTGAATCAATTCATTCAAGGTTGACTTTACTCAATTTTCCATTTTATGCATGAAAGTCATCTAAATTTTTGTATGAATGATGGGATTGATAAAGAAACTCATAATAAGATAAACTTCAGGCTATAAAGCATCAAAATATTATATAAACACATAAATATGCTTGGGCAATTTCACCATTGAGCATCATCCTGTCTAACTCTTCAAATGATCTATTTTTTCTTTAGATTACTCTAGTTTATTGTGAAATTCGTGGAGCTGAAAAATGTATTCAATTTCATTTCATTATAAAAAATTATAAATCTTAATTTTAAAATTCAACTCTATGAACACTTTGGATAGATGAAATGTTAGAACATTTTTCTTTTTAGATAATCTTGCATAATTTCCAAAATGAAACAAAAGCTCTTTTTTTTAGAGAAATTTAAAAAGTGTCCGTTAATGAAAAAAAATAGTCACAGTCAATGACAAGTACATAATAATGATCCATGTGAATATGGTCTATTATCTTATACCATAGCCAATTCTTACCATTTTTACTAATAAGATAACATACATCATTTGAAGGTAATTTGTTTAAATCAATATTATAAGTATTTCCAATTCTTTGACTAGTAAAAATGATTTGTTTGCTTTCAAATTTTATGATCTGACATATAGAAGAATCAAACACTATTTTATTATTTTTGTCACACAATTGACTAATACTAAGTAAATTGTGTTTTAAACCTTCAAAAAGCAAAAAATAACCTTCTATAGTAGAATTAAGACTCTTACCAATAGCAACATAACCAAATATTTTACCTTTGTTGTTGTTACATAAGAGACATAACCTCCTTTTTAGTAGTAAAATATGAGATTTTTTTTTGTCTCTTGTCAAGTGCTTTGAATAGCCACCGTTGAGATACCATTTGAAATTCAAGACTGTAAAGAACACATGAATCACAAATTAAAGTCTTAACCTTTGATACCAAAATCATTTTGGGTCCTCTAACATTATTGTCAGGTATGTTTCTTTTCGAAATCCATTTCATTTTAACACTTGTATCATAATCTTTTATTATATTACAAGAAGTGTGATCATATTATCATTGTTGAAACATTTAGATGTGGTATGATGAGAGATCCTATTTGGGCAACATGATTTTTTAAAATATTTAACATTTATTTTCAGTTGATAGCTCAAGTTGGCTTTATTATAAGTTCCTGTTTGTTTTTCTAAGATGATGTTCAAACTTTATCTCCCTTTATTAAATTTACAAATTGTGTTGTCGAGTGCTCAATTTCCTTTTTTAATACTTTGCATTTCTCACATTTGATAGACATTTCTTGTAAACTTTTGTGATAACATAGAGAGACAATCTTTACTTAAGAAAATTTATTTTTCTTTAAGAAATTTTACTTATTGATTATATTTTCATTTTTAGTATTCATAGTGAAAATGATTTTCTTAGATATGGAAACAGTTTTTTTAAATTTAATTTATTCATCACATAAATCTTTACAAATAGGAACAAAAACTCGGTATAGATAAATTTAATACCTTTTTCAAAGTCATTTACCATATTTTCTTCGTGGTTTACCATGAGACACTGTTGTCTCTTTCCTCTTTGTTAATTCTCTGTTTTATTGTGATTGACATTATGTTTGGTAAAATTAACTTAACACATACATGTTAAAATAAGATGTTCTATCAACTGGAGCAACATGCCGAATGCGATGTCCTATGTAGATTCTTTCGAAATCGTGATTTTGTACAACTAGGCTGTTGGATATTTTAGTTTGTTACATGTGCAAAATATTCTGTAAATATTATGCTATACTATATGGGACACCGTTTGAAGATTAAAAATATTCAAGCTAATTTCAAGGAGAATTCTTAGTTTTCAATTATGGAGATAATTTAGGAAACTAATGATTGGTGCCCTATCTTTGAGGAGATAATTCTGCAACACCTCTTTCATATTCAGCTGCATATATGAAGCCCAAATCTAGTCCATTGAATGTTATAAATAGAAGGCTTCAACCCTAATACAAGTGTGGAACTTACAATATATTTTTATTAGGATTTGTATGTTAATTGTGAGTCTCTCAATTATCATCTTGATAAAAGAGTAGGACTATGTTTTTGTGTTGTAAGTTCTATCAGGAATTCCAAAGTTTTTAAGCAGTGAATGATTGTGTGTCTTTGAAGTGTGACTTCTATTATTTTCTAAGTGTTTAGAATTTTTCAGTCATTGTTCTATGATTTGAAGGGATTTGAGAAGAGTAGGTAGAAGTGAAGCAAGGGTAGTGATTAAGTGAGAAGTTGTAAATGGGGAAGTTAGCTTCAAATTGATACTATCTAGTTGATTTCATCCCTGACTTGTAGCCCCCAGAGTAGGTGTTGTTATACACTAAACTAGGTTAACAATCATGTG